ATTAATGCTTTCCACTCCTGTCCATTACGAAAGTCCCCTTTTCTCAACTCAACTCAACTCAACTCAACTCAACTCGACTCGACTCGACTCGAGACTCAAACTCGACTCGCGTCACCCTGGTGTTCTAATACGAACGTAGATTTAATAATGGTATGGCTAGAGGATTTCGAGTTAACGCGTTGCAATTTTTCGAGAGTCCAAAAGGGGGTGGGGGTAGGGAGTAGGGAGTAGATGGAAAAGGGAGAAATGGAGAAGACGATGTTCTCTTTGGTAAGAGGATGAGGATGAGGAGGAGGAGGGTACACAGGGGGGTTTCCGCTCGAACGAACGCGTACGTGCGTAGCACGTATGAACAGCCTCGAGAGTCTACACCCCCCGCGAGAAATCATCCCTTCGAGCACGTAATCTATTTGTCGGACGACCGCAACGCCTGCAATTTTATTCCAACCAAGTAAGATACACTTATAATATCATTCTTATCGAGATAACTTAATTCGACGTTATAGAATAAAGAAAAAAGAAAATTGAATTTTTCTATAGAAAAATTAATATATATATATATATATGAAAATAAATGGTAACATCTGTATAAAATTATAATTTAAATTTGTAATATTGAAAATTATAATTTTATACAGTTTACCATATATTTTCAACTAAATTATTGATCATTTTGATCTTTTTTCGATATGATATTTAAATGATTACTTGTTCATGTTCTTATTAAAACAATTTCAATGTAATTTTAATAGGAATAACATCGGTTAAATTAATAACCACGATACTCTTCATTGATGGCTATAAATAAAGTATTTCAAGGATATACAATTTAAATATTAATACCGTATGGTTTGAAGATAATTCAAAATTTATCGATTATCTTATAATTCTTCTCCTTCATCTCTTTCTTAATCTTATCACCGGTTTTGAAGTCTTGACAAGGATTCAAATGAAATTAAAATCGTGGAATAATCGAGTCTAAGTTAGGAAAGAACAGAAAAAAAAGGAAATAGAAGAAAAATAACTTAAAAAGATAAAAATAAAAATGAGAATAGAAGAAGCTATCATCTAAGAGGAGTCGCAGTGGCAGTCCGTTCGTTCCCATCGGTTCGCGGAATAACGAGCTATAAAAGGCGTCGCTTTTACTGCTTCCAGGACCGAAAACGCATTAAAGACGGCCCCGACCATCCGGCCATCGACGAAGAAAGAAAGAAAGATAGACAGAGAGAAAACGAGAGACAGAGAGTGAGAGAGAGAGAGAGAGAAAGAGAGAGAGAGAGAGAACTCGCTGTTGGCCGATGCGTTTGCCGAACGATGTATATAGAAAAGGGTGCAACACGAGCCACGGCTAGCCTGTTTATACGTACAACTCGAGGCCCAAAGAATTTGCATTCTAATTATTGCAAGATCCAACCAGAATATCCTCCTCCTCATCCTACTTCTTCTTCTTCTTCTTCTTCTTCTTGTCATTATAACTTCTATCTTCTATCTTCTAACCCAAAAATTACAACCATTGATATTTTCTAATCACTGCATCGAAAAAAACAAAATTATTTTCAATAATTACACCTTCCAAAAATAATTTATAATCTGTTACGATAATAAATGATTTCACAAATAAATAAAATATAAAAACCTAAAAACCTAAAATATAAAACTTATTTTGGTGTTTGGTTATTACTCTATAAAAATATCTACAAAATTATAAAATGAATAAAATAATAAACTGTGTATTGTAAAATAAAAACAAAAAGACAAAGAAATAATTTATAATCTATTGTGATAATAAATAATTTCAGAAATAGAGAATATAAAAAAAAACACCTATGGTTATTACTGGGTAATCTAATTAATGAGTTTTAAAAGATCGTTCGTACGGTAATGAAAATAATTCTTTTATCTTTATAGCAAAAGTTACAGCTTAAAACGTTGAATATGAAAATCATATGCGTATCGTAAAGCAAGCGAGTAAAGTTTATTTTCTTCTTCCTGTTGCTTCGAATAGCCCAGGCGTTAATTTGTACGCAGTCACAATGTAATCATTGAAAATTATTGAGACCACGATCGTTCGCCATTTGCATTCTAATTATCGAGTTAAACGAGCGAGCTCGTAACGCGTTTCTTTCCTAGCCCCTGAGGGTAAGTCGCCGTCAAAGTGTCGCTTGAGACTCTGTTCATGGGAAAGATCGTAAAAGAAACGATCGAAGTGACACCCTCTTTGAGGAGGAGGATGTTTATCTTATCTAAGGTGGTCCTTTCAAAAAATCCTTTTGCCTTTACGTTTATTCTTACCGATGTAAATGCAAATTCTTTTTTTATACAATTTATGATTTCTGCTTTTTTATATTATAATAAATAAACACTCTCGACATATTAAAAAATTACAAATAAATATTTTCATTTAGGGAATCACTTGGTAGAGGATTGCAATAGGTGTTCGTGAAAGGAATTGTAGTAAGGAAAGGAGGAGATTCCTTGGAGTCCTAGGAGAGTTCTGACCATAAGCGACACTCTCGTTCAAGGCGTTAATTAGGTTTAAATGGCGAACGACGTCCAATGCGGCACATGGTGAACGTATTTCGAGAGGAAGGAGAGAAATACTCGAGTCTATTGGTTGTTCCCGAGAGAAAAGTTAAAGGAAGGGAATATACACAATGGTGAATGTTTACATAAAGAACTTCTAATAGAAAAAGTTGAATAATCGATTGATGATCTTATTAATAAAATGATCAAATTTATTAACAAACGATTAGAGAGTTAATTAGTTCAAGTTGATTTATTATTAATGTCTTATCTTAATTTGTTGCAACATAGATTTGAATCGATTCCGGTATTGGAAATAACTAACTACCAAAGGCCTAACTCATTACGTTCCATAGATTTCCTACAGATTAAAGATTAAAGATTCTCAAAAATGACGAAGCAGCCTCCCACGCGAAAGTACCCGTTGCGTCGATTTAATTCCACGTTTCGTATCCTGCGAGATTAGCCTCAGCAGGGAGTACTCGCAACATTTGCCTCGTGCACCGGTGCAAAGTAATATAATACATATACATATAATATAATACATATATACATGCATATTTATACGGGCGATCTATACGGGTCTCCTACCGTTTATATACCTACTAATCGCATCGTTAACGATTTCACGTAGGCTTCGTTGGAATCCATTGCGAATAAACGACATTTTATCACTCGGATATTGTTATCATTTACATCTTTCATTCGTTATGATTATTTATTCTTATTTTCTTTTATGAAAAAAAAAAAAAAAACAAATTACGTTTTGAATTAAACAAAAAATAGATCCCATTCGAATGGTAACTGAGAATAAAACGAAACCATCTTAGATTTATTATTATTAACACTATAACATTCGATGGCTCCACATTGGTGTCATGCAAAAACTATATAATATTAAAAATTAAAATTAAAGTATATATCTTAACATATATAAATTGCGTGGCACGTTGTTTGTTCGCAATGGACTCCTAAACTACTGAACCGATTTTAATCAAATTTTACACACTGTGTGCAGTTTTATCCAACTAGAAAGATAGGATAGTTTATATCTCAATTTATAATCGCAATTGACTTAAAGATGTGTGTATCGGACTGATTATGAGCCACAGCAACGCGTGGCGGGGCACCCCTAGTATAATATTAAAAATAAATATTTATATTCGTGCGACATGAAAAAATGTAGATTAGATGGACTGCATAGTGTTAATATTATTTATGAAATTATTGTTAAAGGAAAAAAAAAAGTAATGTGTCTCGTGAAAAATCAGAATTCATTCGTATGAGACTAACAACTCGGTCTGGAGATCTTCCTCGCGATTTAATTAACCCGATTAAAGTGAAGCTTGTAATACGTAAGAGGGAAGAAACACAAGTAAGTAGAACTCGCGTCTTCTACAACAAGCAAAATCTCAGCATACGCAAGTGAACTAGTTCGAGTGAACAACGTAAGTCTTTGTCGTTAAAATAGTTGAGAGAATGTGCACAACCAAGGAAGAAACAATTCAATGCTTCGCGAACCACTATAACTGACTCTACTATAATTATCAAACGATTATACGATTATTTCTCTATCTCCCTCTTTCTCTCTTACACTACGTCACAGATTACCGAGTTTTCAGATCGTAGATAAGTTAAAAGAAACTATTAACTTTGCAAAGTTAGAAATCTCGTAAGTAAGATCGATCCTTTACAACGAAAACTATCGGCAATTGCTGAGATTTTAATCTCCAGTTGAACAATTTACCTACTTGCATTTATTATTCAAGGTCTTTTTTTATTAACGTATTTATATAATTTAAATACTATTATTAAAAAATACGAAATAAACATTATTATATATATATATATGACTCTGACGCAATCCTGACGCAACTCTGACACAATATGCATATAAGTAAAATTGTTCTGAAAATCGGTAATAATCTGTCGTACAACCTAATGCACAAAACTAAGCTTTTGCAATAGAAAATTCTACGCAAATATTAAACAACAACAAAGAAGGAAGAATTTAATGATTTTTCCTTGGAATAAAATTAATCGAGAGAACCACTGTTGTATGTATATGTCTCTATACTCTATGAAGTCGTGTGTGTGTATGTGTATGTACTCTCGCACCCGGGAGAAAATATCGTTGATCTCTTGTGCGCGCGTGCGCTAACATATAACACGCACGCGAACGTACGGACATTCGAGCGTGTCGATTAAATCGTTTCTTCGTCCAACGAGTTTTCTTCGAGCGAATGAACGAACGAACGAACGAACGAACGAACTAACATAAGCGAATACTTCGCGAGAGGACAAGTGTAACGAACTGCACCGTTAATTACGATCATTAAGGTACATACTGTTCTGTTCTACGTTTAACAGATTTCTTTGACGCGCCTAACCCAAACCGAAAAAAGAATTCGACTTACCGATATGCGGATGTTTAATAAAAAAACAAAATCTGATTCTTTAAAGTTTCTTCAACTTACCCATGGCATCTGTAACAGAAAACATGAAAAACCAATGTTAATTATTATATTTTATGACAACAATTAACTTAGCTAACTTAAAATTAGCAGACAATTGATTGAATTAATTTCATTGTAAAATATGTAAAAAAAGAAAAAAAGCAATTTGTTAAAATTTTTGCAATGAAATACAAAGAAACATTTTTCCCCCAATTTCATTGATAATTTATTATATTAATAAATGAATAAACTTTAGTTTGTAATGCAATTAAGTGTTCCCGTGGTTGCGTCATTAAAGAGACATCTCACATTTTTCTTCGTAACCATCCATGTTTGAAGAAAAAAAAAAAAGCATCCCACAATGACTTTATGTCAGGTTTCAAAAGTACGGAAGGAACGCGGAATTCTCCGCTAATTGCCACTCGGCGCTAAAGAGGTGGTGGACGCTTTTGTACATTTTTTTTTTTTTTTCATTCTCTTTTTTATTTTATTTTTTTCAAATTTATTTTACCTTCCCAGGTGGAAGGAAGAAAACTATTTGATGTTGTTTATAAAACCAAGATTCCTTCGTGTTCCAATTCATTTCTATTTCTTCATCGTTTCAATGATTATTTTAATAAAAAAAAAAAAAAATATATATATATAAATACTTGTGAAAGGTTAGTATTTCACGGACGAACGGAGTCCCGATCGGTTTGCCACTTGGTGACACGTTGCTTTTATATAATCTGAAAGCTTAAATGGTCACTCATAATTTCTCGAGATAATCTTTGCGTAGGCAAGAGCACGCGGACAAGTCGAGTTTCTCTCTCTTTATCTCTATCTAACTTTCTTATCTTTTCTACCTTCGTTTATCTCTATTATTTCTAGGCGCGACCAACAGAGAATATGGAAATAAAGAAAAAGAAATAGAGAGAGAGATAGATATAACTGCGATCCACATAAAACGTTCTTTTATTTGACACACCAACACTTCTTCAAGAAATATCCGTGTAGTGTCGCGTAACGATGATAACACTGAGAGATTATTTCTATATAAAAATATATATTGAAGAAAATTAAATATAAATCAAATGAGATATATTATTGAATATTAATTAAATAATCTCGTCATAAGTAAAAGATTGATTAACCCATTTAATTATTATTTATTGCAATAAACTTGCGACGACGAGATGAATGAACACACAATTTTTCAATCAAAATAAAAATAAGAAAAAAAAAGAACGTGGAATTATTAAAGATACGATGACACAGCATCTTCTTCGTCTTCTGATTAAATTAACTGCTCGAACCACTTCGATTCTCATATCGATTCCATTTAAAGAAGATACGAGAGAAGAGAAGAGAAAAGAGAATGATAAGAAGAGTAAAGCAAAAGCCAACTGTCGAGATTTTTCGCACGCTACCATCCTCTTCCACGGCTCGTTGCTTCCGAGTCTACTTTCATTCGATGTACAAGCTGACTGACCCATTAGCGCCTTTTCTGCCGATCGACATGGCAAATCGATCGATAAAAGCGCCACCGAGAATGCTTCCTGTCTATTACAAAACAACAAGAACAACTAACTCATCTTCTTTTTGTTTTAACTTAGACTTTCTTATAGGTACTTTATAGGAATAACCCTAAATATTTTTTAATTAATAGAATATCATAATTCACTTTCGTTATATTCAATCTATTGTAATACCACCTGTTGGAACGAAACGATAATTGGAAATAAGTTAATGCAAATTGCATTAGATGATTTTACGTTAAATCATATTCATCTCAAACAATTTCTATTAACTATCTATGTTTTTCTAACTATTAACACCATGGTTAGTTAGTTAGAACCATATAGTTAATAATTTCTAACTATAACTATATGGTTCTAACTATTAACACGGTTGCACCACGCTGGTGCCATGCAAAAATTGGTGGTATCACTTTGGTGCCATTTAAAAAACCAAAATTTGAATTATATTTCGTGGGTGTTTAGGGGACCATAATAACCATAAAATCGTGCTTATTTAACCAAGAATTAATTAATTAAAAGAATAAATATTGATGCTACTTTTTAAATTTTATAAAAATTCCAAATTTCCAAGCTATTATGCCGGCGTCGAAGAAAAAGGGGGTCTATTGGGTTGTTCGGAAAGTAATTTTGTTTGTTCCTGACAATTTTGGTATTAGTTGAATGCAAACTGACAAATAATAACACGTAAGATCGGTGAAAGCTTAAAGTTATCAAATTCAACTGTTTATGTTCACTTGAAAGGCCTAAAGCTTTTAAAAATTGTTTTTATTTTCACAAAAGAAAAATGAAATTACTTTTTGGAACAATCCAATAAGATCTGTGAACGGCATAGTGTTACGAGGATATGTTTAAAGGATTTTCAGAAAGAAAAAGAGAAAGAGAAAGGAGTTACAAGACCAGTTGGAATATTCTAGATGGTTTGGAACGATCTGGCCTTAATTTGTAGCACGTTCTTGCTATCGAGGGTGACGAGGAGGTGAGGAGGTTCCCGAGAGGACGGAGGAGAACAGTTGGATCGTTTCGTTGGCGTTGCTCCGATGCTGTTTCTGCTGCTACTGGTTAGTTAGCGCGACTCTAACTGGTCACTATTTCTCTTTCTCTCATTCTTTCTTTTTCCTTCCTCCTCCTCCTCCACCTCTTTTTCTTCTTACTACTCTCGATTTTTGCCACTAAAACATCGTCCCTAATTAATCTCCTCGGCTGATGCTGGGTGCTGGATGCTGTTGCTGTTGCTACTGTCGACGAAGGAAGAAACCTTTTCGTTGACTCCGTTGCTAATACCGCGAGGAAACGAACGACAATGGGATTCTGGAGAGTCCTTGTATTAGAAAGAAAGAAAAGAGTGAACGAGGAGGAGAGAGAAGAGGGAGGATGAAAGACTCGTGGAATCCGTCGAATTCGACCGCGTGGCGAGATCGAGAAAAAGTTTGCTCTGCCGTTTAACACCGGCTCCAAAGAAGAAGAAGAAGAAGAAGAAGAAGGACTGAAAAAGGAATGAAAATAAGGACGATAGAACGAAAAGGATGAAAGACGACGAGGACTATCCTTCCTAATGGGAATTTGCGAGACGTTAATACGGAAAGGAGTTCCTTTTAACGTCTCACTCGAATATCTACCAACTCTGTTTATCTCTCTTTCTAGAAACTCTAGAAACTGCCAGGTGAACCTTTAGATTAAACCTTATGGCCTCGGGTTAGTTACGATTATCGAGATAATCGACTCGACTTTACGTCGAGCCGTCGATTTACGAACCAACTGTCCAGTTTCTTTCTTACGTTCAAGTGCTTTATTATTCTTTGAGAACAACCACGTCAAAGTTGCTATTAAAGAAAGAGAAAGAAAACCTTTCTTATTCTTCACTCAAACCCTTTGGCAAAGATGTTGATGATGATGATGATGATAATGATGATGATGATTAGAATTGAAGATCTTAGAATAAGATATATTTTGTATGAAAATACTTTCTTTTTAAATAAATTATTAAATTATACACTTTTGTTAATAAAATATTAACTTAGTGATTACTTTAAGTTATAATTGTATACATAAACAAAGAAATAGTATATCCCTGAAGACTGCAAGTCTTTGATAACGAGTTCTAATCAAATTACAAACTGTAATCTCAGAAGAAAACACCGTAACACGTGGGTGGCGATGATGGCCAGGAAGAACTACAGAAGATTCTAATACATGTAATTAATAGGATCTAGGTATCGTGTTCCATGAACCATGACAAGTGACAAGGACTGGATAAATAGCAAAGAGAACGAACTAGTCTCCATTCTGGTTGCTTCGTTACTACTCGAGTTTCTATTGGTTGTAACATTTTTCCAATTTACACGAACACGATTGAATCATTTGTCTACGTTCAGTCAAAAGTTATTAATTAACATGTTTATTTAATTAATGTTCCTTTTTTTTTCTTTTTTGAAAAAGTACATGAACCACCTTTAGAAAAAAATTGAAATGAAGAGAAAAAGATGAAAGTACAGTTGCAGTGAGGATGAGTCCGAATCTCGAGTGAAATTGGGTCAACTTTTTTCGTTGTTCGACCATATAGAGAATCTAAAGATAGATAGAGAGAGTGTGTGTGAGAGAGATAGAGAGAGAGAGAGAGAGAGAGAGAGATGATTGCGGGTGTCGATGAGTAGCCGTTAATTGGTGTTCTATGAATTTGATGACGATTACCGCGAAACGAAGTGGTCCCAGACGACGATGAACTTTTTCGTTAGTTCCTTCGGTAGATGAAAGAGAAAGAGAGAGAAAGAGAGGACGAGGACAGGATTGGAAGACTACCGGCAGACTGTCTCCGCTCACAACGTGGAATTTTAATTATAAATTGGTTGATTAACTCAATAGCGTTTTTGCTAGCGGCGACAGTGTCCCCGGGGCGACTAACACGACTGAAACTTTATGTCCGTGCGAGACGCGACTAAGATACACGCCGATGTGCCGACCAGGGGTTCTCGTTTTTCTAATTTTCATCCTTTGACAAATTCCTATAACCTATCATAAGACTAAAACATTAATAAACAATTAATATCAAATCTAAGAAAAACTTGAAATACGATCGCTTCTACAATTTTGTTTGTCTTTTTTGAAAGGGAAGAAACCGACGATGTATTCCTAATTGGTTACAAGACCAATTATTATTATTATTATTATAAATGTAATATCAAATATACTTTAATTCAAACACAGATATAACAGTTAGTTTCTATTGTTTCTATTTTTAAACTTTTTCAATATTTTTTAACAAAAAATAAATCAATGAACTTTCGAGTTTCTAATGCCAATAATTAATAATAATAATAATAATAATAATAATCAATATAATTAATGTATTTTAAAGTAATATCATTTATAATAATGTATATTAAATAATTTATTCATATTGGAAAGTTTTCAAGGATCGTAATAAGAACAAATTATATATTTAACGAAACAAGTGTTCTCATTATTTCCCATTGATAAAAGATGAAAATTATTAGAATGATTCAATGTTAGGAA